TTCAACTAATTTGGCAAATAAAAGTTAAAGTTAGTTGTAGGATCTGTGCTAAACCTGCAAGTACAGTACTCCAAAATACTCCTGTGAGACCAGAGTTTTGAGAAGTATTTTGAAATATCATGGAGAAGTTAGAAAATAGATAATGCTAAAGGTATGACATACACTGTAATTAAGTATAATTGATTTTTCCCAATTTCGTTAATAAATATTAATTTTATCTGTATGAATGRAAACAGGGGAGGATCCAGGATTTTGTTCAGGGAGGGGTGCAAATCAAAAGGAAAAAACAATATTTGTTATCTTTGAAGTAGGGGCACAAATTGGAACCAGGGAGGGGTGCGCACCCACTGCACCCCTCCCCTGGATCCGCCCCTGGGAAAAGTGTTTTATCTTACTCACAATGCTCACCATTGAATAGTCGAGTGCCTTTACATAATAGTTCCATTGACATTCGTACRTGAATGTTAGCCTGATTGAATAGCAAACTGTAAATTTATGTGAAGAATGTGTAGGTTGAGCAACACCCTTGTTTTGAACTCTCACACACTTAATAATATACAGTAATGGTATTTGTGAATAGCTGTCAGACTTGTAAATGAGGATTTAAGCCAAAGGAATTCCTTCTGTAGTATTCAAAAACAATGGTTAATGCAAATGAATGTAAAACTGGTGTACACGTGTAGATCRTACACATCAGCTCAAGAGAGATTCAAGACATTGTCACTGACTTTTACATGTAAATAAAGATTAAAGCAATATTGTTAAACTCAAACTCATTTTYAGATTTGTTTCAGGGTTCAAAAATTCAGTTTATTCTTACCTATCTACCATTATCTACCAAGGGGTCTTACCTATTTACCAACCACAGTTGCTATATGGAAAATAATAAAAGCTCCAAGACGTTTTTCTTATGTTTTGAGCTCATTTGTGAAATGGATTATTTTCTGATGTGTGATGACATCATCCCGGGGGGGGGGGGGTACTCCCCTATATTTGTTATACGGGTATGTGCCGCCCTATAGGGTATGGTTTTTCGGCTTTTGGGTCTGGGGTAGGGTATCATTATTTGACATTTTGTCTGGGATAGGGTATCATTTTAGTCTGGGATAGGTTAACGATTTGGTCATTTTTGTCTGGCAAATAGGCTACGCTTTCTGCCGACACAAAAACAATAAAAACGTTGATTGCAATCGCTTGTAAGACCGTATATTCCGTCTTTTAGTCTGGGATAGGGTGTACAATTCTTAGTTTTAGTCTGGGGTAGGGTATGTAAAATCAAAATTTTAGGTCTGGGATAGGGTCAGGGTTTTGAGGTCYTGGCGGCACACCCCTACCCAAGTTGGGGTGGTAGTAYCCCCCCTGGGACATCATCACGCYGTAATTCTTCATCATATTTCTTAAAGTGCCTATGACCCTTAGCTCAATGTTTTCAGCATTGATTCTACATGAAAATTCAAGTTAAGTAGTAAAATATTTTTATATGATTTGAGTGATGCATCTTGGAGATATCAAGGTTTATACTTCCAGTATGCTAATGAGTGTGATGTCATAGGAGGCATTATTAAATATACCAAAAATGTACTGGGGTAGTAAAATATCCTGTATAAAACATAATTATCTTACTCAGGGTTTATAGAAAGGTTATTACGAATTTGTTTCCCCAATCATTGTAATCAGTGTTTTGATCTAAAAATGATGACAAATAAACCCAAATGCCTACTATGACACGTCACACTCATTAGCATACTGGAAGTATAAACCTTGATATCTCCAAGATGCATCATTCAAATCATATAAACATATTTTACTATTTAACTTTTAACTTCATGTAGAATCAATGCTGAAAACATTGAGTTAGGGGTCATAGGCACTTTAAAAAATTAAAAAAACAAGCATGCTAAAAAATGTGCTAAATTATAAGGTATGTATTTTCTCAAGCAGTAAAACCCCACGTATAAGAACCTAGATTTTTGCAAGTCAGCCTGAAGAGGTTCTTTTATAAATGGTGCTTAACTTGAAATCAGGCTATATAGGTTCTTAAATGGGTTCTTAATTTTTGGTAAAAAAGAGTACTTGTATTGGTGGGCGTGGCATTTCATACATTAAATAATTCACACATAATTTTCATGCTAGCTAAATGGAATCATAGTTAATGGAGCGAAAGTTAACTATGATGGAATATAGTAGAGTGCAAACATTAAAAGCACATAAATCATACAAAATAGTGCACGTTATTGTTTTCTATTGTTTTGCAAAGTACAGACCCTTTTTCTAACATACAGAGTATACTGTATTTTATTATTTACAAGAAAATAAAACAGATTTGACTAATTTATATTTGGAAATTAATTAGACTTTGAAATTTCAGCCTGACAGGTTCTTGAATTAGGCTCCTATACCCGGGGTTTTACTGTATCAGAAGTATAAAATTGGATGGTTTTCAGATTCTAACTCTGAAACAGGGCATGAATTTCAGGCTTTTTACTCTGGAACAGGCCTGTCGGGGAGGAGGGGGGGTCAGAAGGCTCAGGGGCACATCCCTGGGGCTAAGTTCAAATTATTTCCTTCTTTCTGATGGGGCTGACATTGCTAAATCTCTAATTTTTGTGTGACCGTGTAGAGTACAAACACTATAAGTGCGTAACATAAACACCACTAAATTATGCTAATCCTATTGTTTTCTATTGTTTAATTAGCACTATTTACTACTAAATAGTGCAAAGTGTTGCACACTTTCAGTGTTTATACTCCTAGTAGAACAACAACAGTGCATGTAGCCTTCACTCTCAGCTAAAGGAAGATATATTTTATATTAATAATTGAAATTCAGACATACTTAGTTTTTATTTATTTTTTGGAAATTTCTGAACAATGTACATGGGAGGCTTAATTATAAGTTTTTAGGTAGACTGTAATAATTCAACATTTAAYATTAAAATGAAAAAATCGTTGTCTAAATACCATTGAAGCATGCACTACTAAGAGTGAAGGTATTTAACCCGTGAAATGAAAAATACATTGTCAACGTGTAATAGTCAAATAGACTATAATTAGGGGCTACTAAATTGTATTAATCAAATATCTATTTCACGGGTTTAATGACTTCACTCTAGGTAACTCATGACTGTATGAAGGCAAATGATTGAATTGAGAATGACGTATTTGTGAGGATCTAGCTATGCTTTCACTAACTTCATCTACATTCATTAACAGCTGATATGAAATGTGTAGGAATGATAACACTACGAAACTGAGGCATCATGATCAGGAAGCCAGAAATTTGACCAAAAAAATGAAAACATCCCCTTCATTACAATAAAAATTACATAAAACTCATTAATTATAGACAATTTGAAAAACGAGTTTAACACTGGGAATAAGCACCATGAACAATATTATTTAATGATATCAAAACTATATTTTCATAAGAAAGACCATGTCTAAATTATTAACAATTTCAGAACGTTCTGTTGTCTTATCATATATTAAATCCCTGAAGATTTATAAGCATTTGAAATGTACTGAAAACATGATAGCAAGGCTGGTAGGTCCTTGGTTGTTGCCCCCACGTCAGGATCATGGTCAAACCATGGTTAAACATGATTAAAACATGTTAGAACATGGTCAATCAAACATGGTTGACCATGGTTTGCATACAAACTTTTCTAATTTCAAACAGCTGTAGCTTTGAATCATTTGTTACTATAATGAATTTTGGAAGATCACTAATTTCGATATACTTTCTAATGAAAGCATTGTTGCTTCCTATAACTGATAAACTGAGGCACACCCTCTTTCATATAGTCTATAAGAGCTTGAGGAAAAGTGACACAGTTGGCAAACTTTTTTGAGTCCGATTTTCTCAGATCAGCTGGATGGTATTGTCTTTTTTACTTTTATTTCATTAACTCTTTTTTTACTTTATTAAAAACAATCTTTTTGGCAGAAATGATGTGTTTTCAGGAAGTATTTTCAGACATATTCCTAGTTCAATCTCCACCAAGGACTAAACTGTAATACATCAGTGTAGACTGTATATCTTGGGGTAGGCGGGGTGGGGAGGGGTAAGTGCATTCTGCACCACATTTCTTGGGATGACTGGGGATATGCATTGTGTGGGAGGGAGGGTAGGAGACGTAATCTTCACCCTTTGTGGAGAAGGTCTGACTTTGACTGGAAAATAGGTCCCTTGCAGTAATGGTCACATGTCTGTACTAACGTATAACTGGTGAGAAAAATTTTATTTATTTATTTTTTATTATTTTTTTAAATTTTATTTTGATTCTTTTAGGTTGTAGAAATTTTGTTTGCTCACCAGTATATTTCACCCATGGGAATCAAGATGTTCATTCATTAATTGCTCTCAGTGAATTAATCAGCACGTGATTACTGAGCTGCAAAGGGCTTATTAATGCACATTCATTCAGTCCTTTCAAATAGGACGTGAGGTATTACCACTATCAGAATCTTTAGACTCCTACAAATAATTGTTACATAAATTGAATAGCAAAATGGTAGGCGGTCCCTTCATAACATTTTTCTTCGAGTCCCCAATGTTCCTTAATGTACTTTAGGGGGTTTTCATTTTTCATTCATTAGCCCATTGGGGGGTGGGGAGGGGGGATCACATAGAAAGCTTTACAAACATAAGCCAACCACCGCGTGGTAGAAGCAACAATAGCGACCTTTAGATATGACGACGAGTACGAAATCAAGTACGAGTACCAGTTTTAAAATTGGTCCTGTACACGTAGTTAACACTAAATCGTAGTCGATTTCCAATTTTTTACAATTTAAAGTTTTAATCTACGTACACAACCACGAATACGAAATGACAGTGCCAATCTTGAAAAGTTAGAAACTCATACTCATACTTGTTTTTTTACTTGTCGTCAGATCTAAAGGTCTCTAATGTAATAACCCCCCCCCCCCTTTATCACCCTGTCAAAAAGCTCACAACAACACTCACAACAACATGAAATTTTCCTAAACTTTGTCTGCATATTTTTCTGGCATAATTTCTTCTGTGCTTACATTATTTAATAGAGCGCATGCAGTAAAACCATAAAATAAAAACAAAGTTGATACTGACAAATAGTACACTGTAGCTAGAGTGATTTTCATATGACCGTGAAAGAAAATAGACCATTTAGTTTGTAATAGTTGATAAAGAACAAAAGAAAATCATTGGTTTAGAGTCTACTACTAACTATTAGTTTGCCTATTCTTTCAYGGTCATATGAAAACGACTCTACTGTATTAGTGAGTAATAGTTGCTAGCACTCAACCAGAACATTTATTAAACAAGACACAAATGGTCTCTTGTGTATTTGTCTTTGTACGATGATGTTCTGGTTGAGTGATAGAAACTTACTATTAGTCACTAAATAGCTACTACTTGTCAATATCAACTTTGTTACTTTTTATTTCATGGTTGTACTGCATGCGCTCTACATTTATGAATAATTATTACTGTTTGAACATTTCAAGCTAGCTTAGTAAGCAACATGCAACAAAATATTTATAACCTTTTCTGAAATAGATGTATTTATGTTGAAAGACTGGCAAAAGAAAGTATGCAAAGCATTCTGGTAGTGGTGGTATATGACTGTCACAGTGTGCTATTAGCTTGAACATATTGTTTTCAGACCATGCTTCATTCTCTCGAGAATAAGTTGTTTTTTTTAAGTAGTGTCTGACTTCACTTGCACAACCATTAAAGAAAGAAACGGTACACTAGAGAATGACATGATCTGAAATGGGAAAACATTACACCCATGAGCTCATCACACATACTTTTATTTAAGAATTTAAAATATTTTTACGTCCTTAATAAAGTCCTGTTAACTACTATGTATACTATCACTATATACCTATACTAGACACACAGTTGTGCTGCAGATTCCTACGATACATGACTGAATGGAACTGTCTTTACATTGGTAGTAGACTATCATCATCAGGCGGTGCTGTATCATCAGATAAGGCATCTTCTACAGGCTACAATACAATACAGTATGATAGACTTAAATTAACTAGTGAAAAGACACATTAACACATTAAAACATTACCATGAACATTAAATTATAGTCATCTCGATGGATCTCAATGCCATTGGCAAAGCCACCACAGCGTGACCTTGACATGATAAATGTATTATCTGTAGGTTTTCCTACAGATAAAACATTTATCATGTCGAGTTCACACAATATCAGGGGGCTGAGGGCTCTCGACCAATCAGAATTAATATACTAGTAAAATGATCGTATAATTATCGTAACGGTCTATTGCCTGTCCCCAACTGTCCTATACCAACATATTACTGTACATCAAGAGACTGGTAGTCATAATTTCCTCCTGTAAAAGTTTCATTTCATTCTAACTCTGTCAAAAGAATACAAACAACTCTGTTTCTGGCAGATAGGGGCATCATGTATTGCTATGACACTGTCTTTCAGTGCTGTGTAGTTCATGCTTAGGGATACTCATTAGAGTCTATACTGGACTGCATAATATTATGTTAGTTGAGATTATTTGTGCTGTTATTCTTTCCCTTATTTTTCCCTTTTCCCTTATCCTCCCACAACTGCTTATCATCAACGACCTGGGCTCGTCCCACCAGGCTCGATGTTTTATGTGAGAGATATTCTAGTTGGTTCTCTCCTGTGCTT